TATTATTCTAGTAAATTCTTGATAGGTATATTTAATAATTTATGCCATTGGTTAAACACTGTATAATATTAAATTACAGGCACATTGAAATCATTAGAAGTTTAATAGTGTTCATGGTATCGTTAAACAATGCCGATTGTTGGACAACTGTAGGAATCATGATCAGCTAGCTCCATCTCTTTGAAAATATGTAAGAAATGAAAAAAAGAAAATATGCTATACCCCTTCTATTTTAAATACGACCGCCTTTGTCACTAATCAGTAACTCTTGTCGGGTATCTTTTACCTATTTTTAACTTTTATAATCTAATCACGTTCATTGTAAACAGAAGGCAATCGATTCTATTTTTCTTTGAAATACCCCATGAATGGCATGTTAATCAGTGTGATAAGTGCTCGCAAAGGTTGGCGAAGACTGATAAATCATCTGCTATTTTGCACGGATAATTCGCCCACTTAGAGATTCGTCAATCGTTATTATGAATTGTTCAATGTGTTATTTCATTTAGGTGTGCAAGTACCACCCCCGGGTTGTTATAATATTATATGTATGTATAATAACGCGGTGTTCGACATTCGAGTCCCCACGTCATAGATCACCGAAAAACGCGATTCTGAAATTTAAGTGCGATAATATTAAATATTTTATTTTCTGCTTTTTTTTCTTCCGTGAGCAATAGCAAGATCGTCAAAACGGGTTTTCGCTGCTTTTCCAAAACGCATAAATTATATTCTATATTATTCTATTACTTTATTCTACATGTAAATCCAATAATAATAAAAACGCCACCGCTTTACACCAAGTCCCTTTGCTATTTATGGGTGTAATAACTTCTATTTATAATAATAATTGTAGGTATCTATATAATTCACCCTCTTCGCAAACGATATTATTCAAAACGGGCCCGTGCGGTACATTGTACGCATATACTTAATACATCTAGTAACATATGCTACTATCGTACGGCGTTCCTTCCTACTGCAATAGGCAATACACACGAGATAATAGGGGAATGTGTGTGTGTGTGTGAGACAAGTGTCGAAATTCCGAGAGACCGACTCATATACATACAAAGTAAATTGTTTCGACACTAGTTCGAATTATACACTTTACTTATGCCATATACACTGCAGAGCCGGTCCTTGTACTCCTCTAACATTCTGTATATTGGACCGACATATTATAATTTATATATTATATTATTACTGCAACTTCACGTCCGTGCGAAATATTCACCCCCCTGCCCCTCTTTCACATAATTCCTACGAACCTCGCTTTGTCCGTTTATGGGGTAATACTTCATTGTAATTAATCGGACAAAAAAACATCCCTAATTCGACACGCCCGGGGCACAGCAATGGTTCTACCCCTTTTACAGTTCCCACCCGCGTCGTCCGTCTAATAATTTTCCACGAGGTGGTTGCGCAACTCAAAATATTTTTCTATACTGTGGTCTGTGAGTAAAAAACTTATTTATATATGAACTATTATATATTAATTTGATACCGCGATTTACCACGTACAATCGAAACCTTTAAATGAACAAAAGGATTCGTTCCATTTAGACGTGCAAAAACTAATTGGTCAGCTGACTTAAAATTGATTAATAATAATAAATTCCTGTATCATTTGTTGTAGCAGGACCCTTTGCAAATAGTTTGTTATTAAAACAAGCAAATAACTATTAAACATTAATTAACTGTTAAATAACTGTTGTAGAATTTTTCGAATAACCTATACACATACAATATATATTGCTAATAAACCTCAAGAATCCTCTGATCAAGTTAGACTAAAATGGTGGAACTTTATAATGTGATTTGTAAAAAAAAAATTTACCAGACAAAGTGGAGTTGCGAAAGTCCAACGTGATGAAATTAAATATATTATTTTTGTACTGAAAATGTAGTTTAGTCGACTTTAATTTAGTTCACTGACTTCATGTTTAGCAAGGTCAACTATAAAATATTTTGTTGTCGTTTTATGCAACCAACTTTTTATAGATTAAACCAAAAATTTTTTTTTCGTGCAGATGGTGGAAGGTTTAAGAACATTTATATCATATTTGTTTTAATGGGAATAATTTAATTTACCATCTATTTTATTGTTAAAATACAATTTTATTGTCATGTTTATATGGATCGCAATTATGATCGATACTTGCCGGTTTTGCAGCAGTCGGAAGAACACAATTGACAGTAGTCTTCTAATAAATCTCCTATTACTTCGACGGTGGATCACGAGCCGATGACGTATGCTAGGTGCAGAATAAATACGAATAAAACAATAAATACCATAGAAAATTGCTTGAATCATTTCGAAGGCGCAGGGTAGTGAAACAGCACTGTGATGACCATCTGGACATTCCATTTCGTCCATTGTTTGCATTATTTCTTCTCTATAAACCCGCCGTAGACGATCGCTAATTCCTTAAAAATTTGACGGTCAAAACGACGAGTTTGTCGATAAGGGTTCAATTTTTTTAAGAAAGGAATCCTTAATGTTTTCAAAAATAAAAACTATAAAATTGCAATTATTTTAGGAGAAAACGATTGTCCTATCCTTAATTAACTACCCTGTAGTATAATTTAAATACTTCTTAAGATCAAAAATAAATATCGAGATAAAGTTGTTATTAAATATTCACAAGTATTTAAATTTACGTCAATAATAAACTTTAATTTAAACTAGTTACATAATGCAATTATACATACTAAAAATAGCTGTAAAATATAAATTAAGTTTCAAACTTTAAAATGGCGTACATGGAAATAAATAAAATCATTATTTTTGTGAAAGCCAGATTTATATTCTACTAATGTTTAAGGGGCACGGAGACGGCTATTAATTTGGGGGTTAACGTTCCATGACAGATTTTAGCTATGTCCATTTGGTAAAAGGTACATGGATATAAGTTTCCTATATTAGTTTTTATTTACTGATTTTTGGTGGTAAATTGTACATAACTAATATTATTTTATTAATATAACTAATTATTTATTAGTTTTATAAATCTATTTTCTATTAACTCTTGCGATATTTTAGTAAACAAATTCTCAATGGGATGAACTCTCACAGCTGTAAGTGTTCAATATTATTTAATAGAATTTTTTTTTTTACATATATATATACAAATTTGTAAGGCGCTATAACCCCGGATTTTCATATTTTTTAGTTATTCTATTATAAAAATACTGTTAAAAAAAACTCAACACGAGTTTTCAGATAGCTAAACTAATAAGTGTTGTCTACCTTGATTTTGATATTGTCTATGTTGTTATGACTTTAAAAAAAGCCAAAATATGTGTGGACCATTTTTTTTAGTTCGATCATTTAGCCTATTAGTTCTATTCGCAACATTTCGCTAGCTATAATCGATTTTTTAACTCTATTCTGTATTTAAGTGGTCCTCATCACGGATAGCGTTCGCTGCAGTCTACTCAGTAACAATTTACGTATACCCGACTTTGGTTGCATTGTCGTAATCGAAATCATTATTTCTGTTTAGTACTTGATAATATTATACTTTGTTGGATGCACTACGCATATGGCGGCATTGATCAGTTTGCGCTTTTACCGACCATCCCTACGGGGGCCTCTCGTTTCTGGTGGCCTCGAGTTCCCCGAATCCACCCCTGTTTAGAGAAGTGAAAGCTGTGCGTGAAACGAGTGACGAGGGGAAGGCGGTTCGCGGGAGCTATAGGGTGGGTGGGGGATTCGCATACACGCCCCCGTCGTCAAGGAGCGGTAAAAAGAGCGTGCGCTCAACGGGCCACGTGTACCCCGGAATCGACGAGGCGGTATAGCCATGTACACGTGGGTTCCCCTACCCGTAAGCCGCCACCCGCCCCTCCGTTCGACGACTGCAACGCTAGCACTAACCATCCCGTTTATCTATTAAACGAAGAGGCCACATCGAGGAGACCTGCCGGGTACGTGCCGCAGAGTAAACTGCAATATATACATTATATAGACATAATAGCTTGTGCGGACCTCTGGCGGGGGACCTTTACTCCGCGTTGACTGTGTGCCGGCCGACAAAAGCCGTGGTGTCAATTGGGTTGCCGACCATCGCGGCGCGTGCACGATTTATTATAATAACGCGACCACGACAAAGACCTTTCCTAGTGGAACGGTTGCAGTCTGTACACGCGCTACTCGCTATGCACTCATAATGAAATTTCAGTATGAAATAGGTACATCTATATATATATATATATATATATATATATATATATATATATATATATATATATATAGATCTATATATATATAATATATAGATGCCCGCCTCCCATTACTACTATCGATTAAATCTCGTTTTTTGGTACTGTAATAATATTATAACATTTAATAACCAGACGCCATGACGCCGCTGTACATTGTAACTACATATTTTAGAATAATGGGCGCGTTACATTACAGTATCATTTGCTCATTTTCTGTTTATAACGCTGGGAAACGGAAACCATTAGAAACTGACATTATAAGAATAAATACTATCTTTTATACTAATGGACGTTTATCTTTTAATGGTGTACAAAACGATATCATAAATATTAAATAATATTGTAGTATGCACTTTAAACATATTAAGGGATTTCAGTAAAACGTGGCACATATTGTAAAGACTCATTGCGCTTGTTTTTAGAGAAAATAATATGTTACTAAAAATATGATTTATTGATAACATACAAAAATTAATCAAAACGATAATTACTAATATAAACTTGTATTAAGACTCACGAGTTATATGAACTTGTGCGTGCAAAATTGTTCTACATTTGTATGTATATAGATGCTGTCCTACTGATATAAATTAAGTTTCAATTTAAGATTCAGAGGATAATGAAGTGTTATTATTGATTGTGATGAATATATTTAAATGCCCATAAAGTCTATTTATATTTTATAAAACAAATGTATACATTTAGAAGCTTTGCAAGTTACAAATAATCAATAATACTTTTACATATTATATTATTTTTATCGTGTTATAAATTATTAATATTATGTTGCTAATTTGGCCATAAACTTTATAAAAATCAGTGAAGTAAAATTAAGATTACTAGAGTAAATAATAATTAGTCAATTCTAAAATGTCTTACACTGTAAATAGTATTTTAATTAACATAATACATTTTTATTGAATTATAAAACGAACCGAATATAAAACTAAGTACAATAGGTGTAATGCAACCCCTTGTTTAACAAATATCATTCTTATCAAATAAAGGACATTGCTGCATGCTATCAACAGGAACACCATTCCAACCATCTAAAATTGCGTAGAATCCAGGGAATGATTTCTTGCAATCACACCATTTATCATCATAAGCATCTAAATCGATGAACGATAAAACTAATCCTTTGGAATGTTGTCTCATGTATGTTCCCTAAACGATAAATATACATTGATTGAGTACTGAGCACAAAGCTTAGTGATTTATATGTTTATATCAGTGGCATAGCCAGTAATCTGCGTACACACGCAGTTTAGTGTAATTAAAAATATCTAAAGGGAGCAAAATTAAAGATAAAGCCACGGCATAACAAAGTTATAAGGGCTGAAGTTAAACTACTCCCATATAATAAAAGACTAGTTTAAAACAAATAAAACAAAATTCTAGCCGCGCCACTGGTATACATATTATGTTAACTTTAAATCAACGTTGTCTATTTAGCATTTTTATACCAAAAAGCTTACTTTTTTGTTAAGGGATTCCAGAGAATCCGAACACCAGTCGCATGTTTGTGTTTGGGATTTACAAACCTATAAATCATAATTCATAAGTTTACAAATAAAATATGTACCTTATAATATGTTGGTTTATCTTATAGCCGGATCCACACTAGGAAACATTGGTAAGCGAACACCTGTGATATTTTTGTGTGCGATCAATGTTTGCATGTGGCCCTAACAAGCGATATTTGAGTAAACAATAATAATATATTCTGACCAACAACAAAGTGTACACCCAGGACGGTCTGAACTGGCCCCTCGGTACATTAGGCTAACTGAAAGGCATCCCGTAAAATTAAACATTAATATTTTATGTATTTATCATTGAACAGACAAACAAGTGACAAAACAAAAGCGCCTTAGTGGGCATTTACCTATTTGCCTCTTAGCCTTAATTCGTTTCTGCAGCCGATCCGTTTTCAATGTAGTCATGTTTGAGGATAATTTTATAGCAATATTTATGTAATAAAATTTAAAATTAACAATAGTTTTTTAATTTTATCAAGGCCCATTACGAAAAGTAATGTTTTATTCCTTGCCATAGCGTCGAAAACGAAATGAATTACCTGTTATCAATTCAATAAAGCATTTGCAATCCATACTTTCACCCAGGGACCCATCACCCGAACGATACATAAAATAATATTTGTATTTACATAATAATACAGTGTAATAAATTTAACGTACGACACTCATTTTCTTGGAAAATACCTGTAATTGTGTAGTTTTTCTATTTTAAAACATTTTTACTCGTGTTATTTTTAAAAAAATATTATAAAACTACTAAATATTTACCTTTTTTAGTATTTTCCAGGGTTCTATCAATTTTTGAAAATTAAATAGTATTTTGTAATGTTATACATTTATATTTAATTTATATTGTAATTAAAAACAATTTACTAAAAACATTTTGACTGGTCGATAACTAGCTTTGGAAAATTAATTTTATACGTGCATACTTATAAAAATTATCAAATGGGTAATTGGTATTCTATTGATAGATGTTAGAAATGTACGAACTTGCAGAAAGATGCCTTTTTATAGTATAGTTGTAGGAAAAATATCATTAAATTGGTAATTTTTTTTTTTAACGGGTGTTGACAAAATTAATATTATAGTCAACGATTAAGAGCGTTCTAGTCAGTCAGTTAATTCTTTGGTTTTTCCAAATAAAATATAATATTGATAATGAGTAATAGCAAAGTTGATTTAAGCACTGTCGATTTATCTTCAGAGAGTATGTGTAATATATTTTATTAAAACATTTGAATGTATAGTTAAATATTAATTTTTTTTAGATACTTTTAGAGTGGAGGAATACTCCAAATCTTACGCACGTTTATGTCCCTTGCTCAAGAAGTAGTATTTTTGTGGTTTGTCTCTAATCTCTTATATTTATTTCGTACTTACCTCTTCATAACCCTTGCATAGAGTTGCATAGCTTCCATCATCATACAATTCTATTACTGACGGAGAATAATCCAAGTATAAGTACAGTTTGTCTCGATTTATTGAACTTTCTTCAATTGCTTCTAAAATATTTTTCTTAGAAGTTAAGAACAGAAAGGTTTATAATTTTCTCTCATAAATTATAATATTTATGTCGAATACATTATGTCATAAACTCACTATAGTTATTACATCTTCGTTTTGTTCTGAACTATCTAACGGATTTATACCATCAAGAAAGTCATGGGTGCACTCGTTCATTTGATCCAATCTAAGAACAAAAAAGTCTGCTACCATATTTAGGTAATGAAAATCATAATCTACAATTTAAAAAAAACATGTATTAATTATTTAGGTAGTGCAAGTAATACATTTTTTAAATAGAATTTTATTGTTTTTTTTTGACATTTTCATGTCTTAGCTCTGGCACATAACCGAAAAAATTATAACGAAAAATAAAATGGGGATGAAGATGAGGTTGGGGGTGGGAATGGGGTTAGGGCGTCCAGAGCTAGAGTAGCACAGACACTTAACAATTATGACAAGAATCAAGACAAAGAAAAAATATCTACATGGTCAAAAATAAAGAAATCTGTGACTAAAGCAGCAGAAAACCTAAGAATGAAGAGTATGGGACAAACAAAAGTATGGTTTAACAAGGAATGCCAAGAAGCGGTTGACAAACGTCAAGTAACAAGACAACTAATGCTACAAAACCCCACCAGAACCAATATAGATAATTATACAAGAGCAAGAACATTGACCAATAAAATAATCAGACAACAAAAACGACTCTCAGAAAAGAAAGCTCTAGAAGAGATGGAAACATACAGAAAGAACCCAAGAATGTTTTTCGAAAATTCACATCAATTAAAGAAGGATTTAAGGCGCGTGCTTCAATAATGAAGGATGACGATAATAATTTATTATCGGATCCGGGGCAGATAGTCAATAAATTCAGGAATTACTTTGAGAGACTACTGAATAACAATAATGATAATCAATACAATAACGACCTGCCTTATGAACAAGTAATAAGAGACACCGTAGAACCTGAAATTCCAAAACCAAACCTGGAAGAAATAGAACAAATTGTGAATACGTTAAAAAATAATAAAACACCAGGCGAAGATAACATTAATTCAGAACTCTTAAAGATAGGAGGAAAAGACATTCTAAAAACTATACAATGCCTCATTGCAGAAGTGTGGAGGAGTGAACGGATTGAGAATGATTGGAAAATGGCCATCATATGTCCAATTTTCAAAAAAGGTGACCCATCAAGAGTAGATAACTACAGAGGAATCAGCCTTTTAGACTCCATCTACAAAATACTATATATTGCCATTTTGCATAGGCTTGAAATTTATACGGTAGACATAATAGGTAATTATCAGTTCGGTAAATGTCCGAAAGTTTTGAAGTTAAAACAGGGTTAAGACAAGGAGACGCACTGTCTCCAGTATTATTTAATTTGGCACTAGAACAAGTAATAAGAGATATGAAGGATAACAGGTCCATGGAACTACTTGGGAACAGGACTCTACTAGCATATGCCGATGATATTGTTATCCTGGGAGAATCTCAAGACCAGATAATCTCAAGTACATTTAAGCTAATAGAAGCTAGCCAAAAAATAGGACTGAAAATTAATGAAGATAAAACGAAGTATATGATAATGACTAGGCGTTTAATCAATAAACAAAATCTCAATATAGGTCAATACACTTTTGAGCAGGTGGACAACTTTAAATACCTGGGAGTCAATATAAATGCAAACAATAATATGCACAATGAAATAAATTTGAGATTAGCGGCAGCAAATCGAGGTTATTTCGCCATGAATAAGATGTTCAAATCGAGACTTTTATCAAAAGAATCAAAGATAAAACTTTTTACTACTTATCTCCGTCCAGTTATCATGTATGGATGTGAGACATGGTCAACAACAAAGGGTAACGAAGGAAAACTGTTACGGTTCGAGAGAAAGATTCTGAGAAGAATATATGGACCTATACGAAACCCGGATAATGGGGAGTATGAGCAAAGTAATAACACAGATATAGAAAGACTATTCAACAAACCAAACATTCAAAGTTTTCTAATATCCAAAAGATTAGAATGGGTTGGGCATGTTTGGAGGGCGAAGCAGAATCTGATCAATAAAGTGTTAACCAATAATCCATCTGGGAAGAGACCGCGAGGAAGACCGCGCTAGCGGTGGATGGACCGTGTAAAGAATGTTCTAAAAAGAATGGATCAAACAGTAATAATGGAGGAGGCCGATGACAGGGATCGTTGGAGAGTCTTAGTAGAAGCTGCAAAACGCCTTCAAGGCGTGTAAAGCAAAAAAAAAATAAATAATGGTACCAAATATACTATAAATATAAATCAAATAACAATTTACAATTTTCACTTACAAGCAATATCGCCAAAATGCTCATAGGTCACCCAGTCTATATTAATTCCAAATATTATGTTAGGAAAATTGTCTTTCAACGTTTGCACGTACCCTTGCAACTTTGCGCTAAATCCAGCTTTAGGTTCAACTTTCTAAAACAAAACTTAACATCAAATTCTAATACTTTCATTAGTTATAGTTTATAAAGTAGAAAAAAACATTTATACTAGTAAAATTATACTAGCGAATTAGAACACAATTATCATAAAATGCGATTTTTAGATTTATTACAGTTTTTTTTACAAAATACGGAATAAAATCATTGCTATATGACTTGTAGTGTAAGCAATAATATTAACAACAATTTCGGAGACAATGTTGAGAATGGTTTTGAATAGAGCTTAAACAAAATTTATAGCTTTCATAAGCACAGAAATTGTTTTTGCGACACCGCTAGTACCAAATGTCACCAATAGATAGTGTTAAAAATCGTAAATTTCCTAGTAAAACGCTAATTTGTTTCCAGTGGAAACTTTTCACTAATAAATGTCTCGTTTTCAGTCCATACTCCATTCTAGTCCGTAGTGACTGCACCACGGATTATTATGAATAATATTTATAAACGGTTTTATAAACCTAAAAATATATACTTGCCCATGCATCCAAATGCGTAAAAATGATTCCTTTCACAGGGTATTGTTCAAAAAATAGTTTGAACATGTTTAACACATCTCCAGAGTTAAGATCAAAACGATTTAACGCCGTAGACCATTTTTCGTAATATTCATAAGCCATGTATACATAAACATTTTTTTTAGTGTCCAGCAAATTCATCAAAAACTCTGAACAAGTATTTTGTTTTTTAGTTATTACAACAATAAACAATTGAGCAATGAATCAAATCGCTTTTATAAAAATAAATATACTAATATTAACTAACATAACTAATACTCCTTATAAACAATACTTCATTTTTATCTTAAATTAAAAAAATATTTCAGTGCATCCTACCAGTTTGTTGATAGACAATTTCATTATTATTATTTATAATAAATGTTTCATAGACCACCCCTTCGCACTCATCGGGTATTAATGTAACATCCATCCTTTTGGTATTACACATTGTATCGACATCACCGTAGTAGTTACAAATTATTTTGTCAAGTCTAACATTTCCTTTAAAAAGTTATGATATACAATATAAAATTAAATAGTTAATAATACATAATAAAACTATATTAGTATGTTGTGTTCTTTAAGTTAATATAACTGTTAATTTATGATTTGAAATTAATTTTCATGAAGCTTTATTAATCTAAAATATCAAACAAATTATTTAAATTTGTCTAAATACTATATGTGGTAAATATATATTAAACATAATATGGTAGATATATTATGTTTTTTTAGTATTATTCATATCAATTTTTGTTAAGCATTCAATAAATTGTATAATTTTAATAATGATGCTCAAGCTTTGTCAAATTAATTTTATTTATTAATTATATTTATTTTGAGTCATGGTTTTTTCACTTTTAGTAGTTCGTTTTGGTTAGTTCAAGTTTGATCAAAAATAATAGAGAGTAATAATATGTACTTTTAACATTTAACTTTAAATACGTTAATGGTTTTTATAAATAAATAAAATGATTTATTTATTTATAAATAGTTTTTATATTGTATAATTAATGTTCTCATAAACTTACTGTAAGCTTCTAATTGTTGGATAACAAGGCAAAACAAAACACCATTAACCAATGCCAAATGATTCATTTTTACAAAAACCAAACAATATTTATAATTTATAAAAAAATATATACCACATTTAACATCACAATAGTAGGTATACGGATTTTATTGACAGCGTTTAAATGTAGATCCAATCGCACAACCGTAGTTGATCCACGTATAATAATTTATGTTGGTCGTTCAATTTGCATGTTAGAAACAAACAGCACGTTAACATACCGTGTCGATGAATACAAAAGTGAACGTGATGCATTATAATTTTCAACAGCTAGTTCGCTTTTGCGTTTTTTAACGTTTCAAAAATAGAATTCTAGTGTTCATAAGTCACATTCAAACCATCCTGGATAAGTGATAACTAACGGTTTAAGTTAACTAGAGAAAAGAGCTCAGTCGTTCCTATGCAATGTCATGTGATACACAGTAGATATCTTTACTTACCAATTCAATCACTCTTGTATTATTTTTGCGCATTCCAAATGGTAAAAATCCTGTTATAATTTTGAACAAAACTGTTTAAGAAATAAATTATATTTTTTTTAATCAAATATGGTATGAATATTGTACTGCATAAAGATGTTATTTCCTTGATTTAATTGTGTGAACGGGTTATAAGATTAAAACTAATATAGAATAAGACAAAATGGTAACTAACCTTAAGGCCCCTGGATACAGACCATTTTTAAGGAGTTTTGTATAGGCAATATTTAAGAAAAAAGTGGTTTTAATTAATTCCGACCATGTCAATTAATTTACCGGTTAATTTGTATAAGCTTCATGGTGTTATTTTTAATTTAAATAATTTTGTCTATGAGTAAAAGCCATTTTAGTTAATATAATAGTACATTTTTTGTCCATCGCACAGGCTGAACCAGTGATCCGATAAGTAATCTGAAAACAGATTTGAATTTGTCATTGTAAGTTTACTTGAGATCGGTTAGCGTACTCTTTTGATATCTTATTCCTACTACACATAAAACACATTTTAACATTTTATAAAATTTCAAATTTTAAAATCAAATTTCGAAAGGGTTACAACTTAAAATTAAAAAAAGTGCTGTGACCGATCTCAAGTAAACTTCATGACGAATTCATATATGTTTTTAGATTGCTTAGCGGATCACTGGTTTGACCTGTGCTATGGACAAAAAATTATGTGTTTTGGCTGGAAAAAAACGGTGGGTATCCAGGGGCCTTAAGATAAACAAAGTGATTGTGTCAAACAGGTACAACACTAGGTGGATACTGTTCGACAAAAACGATTCAACTACAATAAAGTAACCGTATCAAATTGGTATTATAACAAACCATCGGGATTTTTAATACTAACCGAATTTATTGTTATGATTTTTTTACTATCGCTTGAAACGTTTAGTAACTATAAATTTACACGATGTAGCCAAAAAAATAAAAACGTGTTGTTAACATTGGAGACAATGGGTTAATGTTTCATCCCGTGCATTCTGTAAAATAGAAACGATAACAATAAGTTACAAAAATTATAAAGATTTATTTAACATTAAATAAAATTATGTTTTTCGTTCACTACTATTATTATTATACGGTAGTTCAAGAATATCTATAACGTGTGAATGTATATCATATTATTACTCAACACACACGATGTTCCTGATCATAATGGCCGCTCGCACACAACGTTTTTTAGTGTCGCCGGAACTCATTATATTTCATCTCATTATATTATTTATGTTGTTTAGTTTTTTTACTATGCGGCGGTGACTGTACGTTTTTATTTTACGAGATCTCCGAAAATTGAACTCCTCCCCGTGTTCTACCATATAACGTATTATATTTAACGGCCTCACTCGGTGTTCAGTTAACATACCGGTCGAAATATTTCGCCAAAAGAATATATGACCCGAGCCGAGAATTGAGAAGTGGTTCTGAAACAGTATTTAACTATACATTTCTAGGTTACCGTTGAATTTTGTCTAAAATTCAAATAAAGGAAAACAAATATTTAAAATTGTTTAATTAATTGATAGTCAAGATGACGCGACATAATACAATGTTAACAGTAGTCTATGTTAAGGTCTGTAAACGTTTGTTTTTTTTCTTTACCTATTGAATACTGTTATTATGTAATATGCTTTAAGTGTCCTAATTAATAAATAAAATTAATTACAAATACCATAATGATGTAGAGTACCTAATAAAAACTAATAATTAAAATGTTAAAAATATATATCATTTTCAGTTATTGTACTTAATGTCTTACGTTAAATATATCAAACAATATAAAAAATATTATTCTGTGTTATGATCATAATTATTTATTATGATTTTTTTTATAATTCATAATTTGTTTACCTAACTTAAAACAACAATGTGTGGTCCACTAGTATAATATATACTTAGAACTATCAAAAAAAACTATAATATGCTGGAAATTAAAAATGTTTCTTATGATTATTGACTAAAATCATACATAATATTATGTAACAAACACTGATTCAACTGTTATCGAGACATGCACACCACCACATAAGTTGCAGTTAATTTGGAATAAAAAAACCTGTATTTGAAAGCCGTCGTTTCTACTTTAATTCTATACGTTTCGGTTATTTAGAATGAATCCAACATAAGTGTACGGTTCGGTCGCGGCTCGCCTATATGTTTGGGAGCCGCCAAAACAATCGGAAACAGTCCTTTTAGCCGTTTCGAGTTGAATTGGTTAAATCAACACGAGAAATTCGAGCGAAGCAGTTTTTTGAAATTTACCCTAAGCGATGGAGAAAGAGCAATCCAAGTGTGAACGTACGTTTATGGCGCGCCGAGGTATAATGAACACGTGAAGACGTTGCTAAGTCGAAGGATAGCCGTCCAGACCGGATTTAAGAGGCGTTGTAGATAGGGAAGGGCGACAAGGTTCTAACGAATTCATCAGCGCTCCTCTTATATATTTAATAGCAAACACGGCGGTGGTGGTGTACACGCACCTTTAAAGAAACACGCGTCTAATGAGCTTGGCACGGTGACGAAGGCGGAGTAAACAAAAAACCCTCACTGCTCCTCCGTTGTATGGTAAGGGCACTGGACCGGAGGGACAGAAGTCGCGGTCGTGCGGCAGAGGTTCGAGGTGTGGTAGACGGGGGCACAAACGAGGGGGGCACGAGTAGAATTCGAAATCCTCTTAACACACACGGTGGAACGGCTTAAAACGTTATTACCGGTAATTGGTTCGGACGGTCGAAATAAGATACTCTGCGCATTTTCGGGTCACGTAATTAAGATTACGTTACGCGCATCTGAAAATTTTATTGCCAACCTCCGCGGTACTAACCTAACCTTTACTATTACCACTCCTGTATACCGGTCGGTCGCTCGCTCATACACACACACACACACACTCACACAAACAGTCGTCCCCTTAAATCGAGAGACATGTAACGGCGACGACGACGATGACGACCTTTTTGTCGTCGAAGCTAATCCTTCGAATTCGGCTTTAAGGCGCTTTTATCGGCCGACAATTCGCCACCCCAATTAGGAAGGTCTAACGCGGGATTTCAACAACACTTTTCAAACCGAATATTATAACCTAAGCGAAGCCACGACGTCGGCTATTCGTTTGCCATTGCTTAGTCCGGAAATATTGCCATCTCTTAGTCCATACCCCCCTCCCCGCCGGTGTTGGACAAATAAGCGATAGCAGGTAAACGCCGATGTACCAATACCGTAAACAGGTTTTTAGAGTTTTCTACCCTCAAAATGGCTGGATTATAGAATCGAAAACTCCGACAGAAGTGCAAATTTCGCGGAACGACCGCACAATACACCATCGACATGGTTGCAAAATCATTTCCGTTGACCAATAATACCACACCACTGACTTCTAAACGTTACTCGAGAATTACAAAATGTCCGAACCGTACAGCTAAGGTTTTTTTTTTTGCACCACGGGGAATCGGAATTATTGTAGAATAGAAAATCATTAACAATTTCATAGGGTGTGCGGCACTCGAGTACATACTCGTTATTTGTACGCATTTCTATCACCTATGGAATCGCCAAAACAGCATTTAGAAATAGAAATCGATTGCACAATACTTCTAATTGACAAGTAGTCCTGCTTCATAGCCGTAGAAGTGTCAAGCGCACTCGATAAAATGTCCCCGCTAACAGAGTACCAGAATGCTTGGGCTGAACTCACAATTTCAATCGCGTCAGTGAATGTTATTTGAAAAACTAGTCACACCATTGTTGTCATGATATTTTGTTGAGCTTCTTAAATGAATATATTACTGATTATTCCAGATTCGAATTTTTCATAACTTATAGGACACAGTTAATAATAATAAAACAATGCTACGATCAACTAAAATATTAAATAAATAGAAATAATCCTCGAAATTCAATACTAAACACCTTGTATTGCGAAGATAACCGTGGCGTACTACCTACCAATCAACACCAACGTTCCGTTGAATGCGATATAATTGTATTGTTGGTGCTTAATGCGACGGGTTTAGTCCGACGATAAGGACTAAGGGCATCGGCGTGGAATAATTCGTATTTACCATGACGGCCAACTCTATACAAACATAATACACTCGGCTGTGTAATAATGTACAATTAATACTAAAATTATGTTTTAAAATACATGTATAAATGTAGCGGTGCCAACTGTCATCTGAAATGTATTGTTAAAAGGTATTTTACCTATGTAGATACTACTTAGCCCTTAGGTAAATCCCTAAATTTATGTTTTCATAGTTCATTGTTCTACCGGGGCGGCGATATATGTTATACAACTGAACAAATACTCAACTTAGTCTAAAAGAATACTTTAAAACTACTAATAAAAGAAAAACATTTATTATTTTATTCGCTATAAAATATATTACACTCCGGTACATTAGGACTTAATTACAATTTTTTTTTATTTAACTCAAAACTAAACGTCTTTCATAAAATGTATAGTCGTTATAAATATCAGGAAATACTGTGGAGATTTAATAGATTTAAAAGTCGCGGCGAACGATTTTCAAGAATAATCTGGCGAAGAAAACGTAATCACTTTTTGGTTAATCGAAAATATTTGAAGATGGAATATAACCTTTATTACATGACGAAAAGTGGATTACTTTATAATCATTTGATGATGTCGCAAAAATCTTTTGAAAATTCGAAAATGATGAAGCGTAATATACATCACGAGACTGCCAATGATGACGATCGGGAAGTCTTATTATTTATTTACTTATATATATTTATTATTATTATATTTTTGTG